AAATTTCATTTTGATGGTTTATGTGACACGCGCTTTATTAACTTGTAAGTCAGAATACTTATGCCTTCACATTTCCATAAGGAAAAGTGTAATCTCAAGCACAAATAATGTTCAAACGATCGAGAGAATATGGGTAGACCAGGGTGGGTATATATATAGCGGCCCAGGACATAAGATCAGTTCGTCCAATAAGGCCGTCTGCCTTTGTAAGAGTTTTAGCAGATGTATTTGTTTAGTGTAACTGCCTGTGGAGAGTCGACCCCCCATTGCTGCCAAATCAGCTAAATTTTCAATGTGATATATGTCTATCCGTTTGCTGTTCACGACCTTTCGAGCTACATAATGCGTAATAATGGACATACCCATAAAGACATGTCACACGAAAGTGGTGCGAAACGTGGAGCCAAAAAGTGACGAAACATACTACATCAGATCGTAGATATATGTATTACACAGAATATGTAAATATGTAGATTTCTCAGCTCTCTAATAAATTATTTTTATATATATGTATATAGCTAGACGACTGAAGAATATCGTAATACGGCAATAGTGGAAACGTTTTATTACTGAGACTATTGTTAGATCATCCATCCGTGTGACTTGTTCAACCGCTTATTCCAGTCGACTAATTGTTCTTCAACAAATACAATTTATTGGCATGATGAAGATATAGCCTTAACGAAGCTCTTATCAGCCCGTCAGTCTATCTACTTCATCTGTTGGATTTCTCAGGACCTTAAACGGACTAGGAGGTGTATACCTCAATAAATAACAACAAGTAAAATTATTGCAAGACCAGAGTCAAGTGTTAGGTACCCTATACTACTTCGCTACAATTCTTTCTATAATCACGTTCAAAATAAGGCCCGATTCGAGCCATTTTCAACAGGCTTCGTCCTTCGGCCATAACCTACCGGTATAGCAAACTTCATCAAAATATATCCCAAATGTGATCTAGAGTCTAGATCAATTTAGAAAGTGATTTTGAACCGGTCGGTATGCAATTTAAATGCACGCAAAGAGTTCGATTTGATTAATGGATAACTGTAAGGCGATGTAGGTTATTTAGGATGAAGAATAAATTGAATGTTAACCATTTGACTATCAAATAATATTTGCGAAGCATTATAAGTAAAATTTTGTCCTTATATCGCGAACTTGGTCTAGTTTAAAACGAAACCGTTTGGCGCACAGATTTTTCAACATGACATGTAAAAGATCATTATAAATTTCTATTCGATGCATTTACATTTTTGATGGCAATCGCAATCTTTCCATAAATGATATACATTTTACGTAGGGTACTCCTTTCATTTCCAAGGACTTAAAAAGCAGTGCATATACAAACTCACTTAACGAAATCTATTTATTTACAAACTTAAATCAAACTGTTTTTAAAAATTTCAACCAATGATGTCGTTAGAGTACGCATAATATTTCAAGAACATAAAGCATACTTTACGTCTAAAGAGCTTTGTTACTACTACTCTTTGCTATAAGATGAAAGCCAACTTAACTAAGCAGCGAAGAAAGTAATTTACAATAAAAATCCTATACTAAATACTTTCAGCTTAGCTAAGCCTAGCACTTTAAGCGAACACTTGGCAATCATAGCACTGAACATAGGTAGATCAACTTGCTAAACAAACGCCACTTTAACTTTCCCTCCTTTAACATCCCTCTTAGTAACTCTGTTGATTGCCAAAGTGATCTAGACAAGTGCTACCCAGAGTAGTCAAGTCAATGCTATAAGTTATTCGCTTGGCAATACAGAAAAAGAGAACTTAGAAAAGTCAAAAGGAATTATGTATGAAGAAATATTGTCAAAAGGAGGTATGTCTCGTCACTAAGAAATACTTTACCTCTCTTATAATCTTTTATATAAAGCTTCGATTACCGTATAACTCTTTATTAATAATTATTATACCTACGACTGTGAGATGGGCGTATATTCATTTTGTTCTTTCCCTAATATATGTAACGGCCAAAAGGCAGCTGCAAAGGCCCTATCAAGTATATGCATTCTTGATCAGCGTAAAATTTGGAGTTGATTTAGTCATAAGTGTCCGCCTGCGTGGTGTGTGTTGTTGGCACTCTCCTGGTCGCAAAAATTAAAATATCGTCTTCAAATTCAGTACAAACATTGGAAGTTTCTGCACTCAAGTTGGTATTGAAAATGGGCCAAATCGGTCGGAGCAGAAGCCCGTAGTGGATCGTGAACTGAACGCAACTCAGTTTTTTTTAACAAAAATTTTTGAATTACTCGAAAATTATTAAAGTTTGAAGGCGGCAATTTTCCACATTTACTTTACGAGGCACTCTACTCCTTACGTGCAAAAATGGAACACATTCGCCACGCCCACACAAAGTTATAACAGTTAAAAGTTATTATACACTTTTTTGAGTTTTTCTCCTCATTTATCATAAGGCAAAAAAGACCGAATATTTAAAACAATTTTGTAGACTCCTTAAATGAAGATATACTATCGGCCTAAAAATGGGTTAATTTTAAAATGAATATGGTAGACACCGCCACTATTTTTTTCTTAATAATACCAGCGATATGGGTATCAAATAACAGAAGGAGAGAGAATGCGAAAAGCATAGTGATGGATAGGCGAGATTCGGACCCAGCCGAATATAAATTTCTTACTTTGTATTTTCTTAATAAAGATTATCATGCGTTCACTTAAACTCCTTGCATGCGAATTATTTCGGAGAGACACACAACGAACCTAAAAATCAATTTATTATATTTTCATTACCGAGCACTTTCTTTTTTAAATGTTTAGCTTTGTGTAGAGTTGTTATTGTTGTTACTATTATTATTACTGTTACGCATCCCTATAGAATTTTTGAATTTTAATTAAAAATAGTAATTGTTCACATGTGCTAATCGATTCATTCAAATGGTTATAGACAAAGTTATTGTGTTTGCAGGTTGCCGTGTGTACCGGTCAACCTGGCAGATTACAGGCGAAATCTATCTATCTAGAGAGATATATTATAACATATAAAATTTTCCAAAATTATTGAAAATACGAACCGAGAAATCCTTCCGCTTTGCCTTGTCCAGCAAAAAGGCAACAAGTAAGAAAATTATTTTCACGCATAGCTCAGCATTGTGATCCTAAAGAAAGAGGAAACAACTAAATTTTCATAGTATTGGATGGGCATGGTTGACTTTTTCTATTTGTACAATAAAACTGGAAAATTACATAGTGTAAAGTGTTGTTGTAGAAGCAAAAAAAAAAAAAAAACGAAATACAAAGGTGTTCAGAGCTATTGTAACAAATTTTTGTGGGCGATGTAGACATGTTTCTTTGAAATGTTTGGTTCATTTTTACATTCCTTTGTAAATTTGTACGCGTAATCTTCATTTTAGTGAACGGGGGAACGTTTATCACAGATACTACAAAGTTGCCCAAACAGACAGCGGATAGAGGGACAGGTGTACTCCAAATTTGAAACTAAGAATTTGCATACTTAATGGGGTTTTTGAAGGTTGTTTCTACGCGTTATCAAGGTATAGAGAAAACAATTAAATTTTGATACACTATAATATTGGGTAGACGTAGTCAATTTTTTCCATTTTTATGCACAAATGCTACAGCGTCGCCCGCAGAATAAGCGTTCAAACTTTTGTGCATATATTACCCATAGTTTATGTATAATGTGTAAGAAACCAATTTGTCATTCCCTTTGAAAAACAGAGTTGTTCTCTGTTTACGTTATGCTGTGGGCGTGTTCTCCGACCGATTTGGTCCATTTTCAAAATCAACCTGCGTGCAAGAATTTCCAATGTTTCTACCAAATTTGAAGGTGATAGCTTCACTTGTGCTAACGGGAGAGTGTTTACCACAAACGCAGTTGCGCGAACGGACAGTTGGCTAGATGCGCGGAAGAACATGTTTAGATGCATTCCGAATTTTTCATTTTTGTAAAGGTGTTACAGCGTCGCCCATAGAATATACGGTGTAACTTGTGTAGATTTATCTGCTGTAGTTTATGGGTAATGAGCAAAAAGCCATTTTATTCTTTTTGAAAAGGAAAGGAGTCGTCAATTTACGTAATATAGTAGGCGTAACATTCGATCAATTTGGCCCATTCTCAATACCAATCTGCGTGCATTTGAGGTCGAAAGCTTCATTTTTATATCCAGGAGAATGCTTCTAGCAGACATTACTCAGACGGACAGACGGATATGCTTAAATTGATTTAGAATTTGATGTTGATCAAAAACATATATATACTCTGTGGTGTCTCTGATGCTTTGTGGTGTTGCAAACGTTTTGACAAAATGAATTTAACCCTCAAACTTCGTATAAAAAGAATTGTGTTGGACAATGTCGTGTAAGATATTTAATGGTTCGGCCTTGCCTTTTTTCTTATTTTATAACATATATATGACCAATAACGCACGATATGTTCCCCACTCGTATTCGTCTAACTCGTCAGAAAGAATTGAGGAAAGAGAAAGAGAAGATAGGGAACAGCTTCAGCCTAGTGGTAAGTTTTACGCAAATACATGTTCAAGTATTGAGAATTGTAAACAAATGTGGACGCTTACTCTCAGCTGTTTGGAATTTTTATACAAATTATTGGGAATCATAAACGCTTACTCTCACATGCAGGCAATTTAACATGCCCTTGTACCTTGTGGCTTGCGTAGAACAAATTCGGAATATTCAGGTGGACTCTGCAAGAAGTATAAAATATTAAACGCTAGAGAAAAGTTTTTCTTATATGTAGCTCCAGTGGCAACGCAGGACTACATTATTCTTTTCTGCTTTACCTGGTCACCTTAACGTGTTTTTCTCTATAAAATCTTTTTGTAAAGTACAGTTAATGTGGATTTTTGTTTTTTTCTATTGTTCTAACATTCGCATAAACCTCACCTCTGAGTGTAAGACTTTGCTTTGACAAAACTTACAAAAAAGGCATAAAGAAAAAAAAAGCAGAAAAGCAAAAAACCAATAGTTCTCTTATGTAGACCAAGCGAATAGATGCAAATTAGTGTTCACAACATTTTCGAAATACAGTAAGAAATTTTCCCCTAAAAAAAAAAAGAAGAGAAAAACGAAAATTATTTGCTTTGAAACAGGTATAGAAATGAGTCTTAATTTACAAATTGAGAAATTACGTGGTGCGGAGAATTACAGGCATTGGTCTATGACGGTGCAAGCTTATCTGGAATCGGAGGATTTATGGACTGTCGTTGAACATGGTCCAGATTCATCAGAACAGGTATTAAGAACTCATTTTTTTAAACTTGTTTCAAATTAAAATTTAAATAAAACATAAAATTATCATGAACAATGAAAGTATAAAATTTTTTAAATTAATTATAAATAAATATTAATTTAATAAATGAATAAAGTAATACAATTAGAGAAAATTAGTGAAAAAATTGCCTGAAAGTAAATTCTGGTTAAGCATTCTTTTAAACGGACATTTATTAATTATAATATATCTAAACGATATATGTAGCGGAGCAATTAATACTTCAATCGCTTAGAAGGGAACCCTAAGAAAAATCCGATGAATGTTTGAAACACATTTTAAATCATTCTCTGACATCGTCTCATCCAGCCGCTAGATAAGTGAAACACAATGAAATTTTTGATTTATTTCCAAAAAAATAAAGAAAATGATGGAGCAATGGCGTAAATTTTTATGACCGTAACCCTTTCAAAATCGTACTCTTCCTTTTTTGGCTTTTCTCTCTTTTACCAGTTTTAAGCTTAAAATTGGTTGGTTGGCTTAATCTAGGCTATCAATCGAGGCTTAAGGTGATGAGCATCGCGCTTTATCAAATTGACCAAAAATTTGCAAGCTTTGGGACTTATTGAGAATCTTACCTAAAAAACTATTATCGTGACTTGGCGAGTGCTGGTTGGTTAATTGGACCAAATGAAAACGTCATCTGGACTATGAATCGAGCTTTGTTAAGTCGATTTAAAATTTACACACTTTAAGGATTATCCAGAATCTTATCTAGGAAACTATTATCCTATTATCCTGTTGACTGGTTTGGGACGTTGTCCACCTTGATCATTCTTACAAACATTCTCGATAAATTTCATTTATACATATTCACTTTACTACTTGTAATCCATAGATTTATTAAAATTTTCGGGATCTTCGGATGGAGTTATAAGTAAATGTTTTTTTTAAATTTGATACGAAGACTTCAATCCCAATTTTACGGGCTGTAAGCATAATTTTGTGTTGCGGGTTCATATTCAAAATTAATTTGGGATATGTTCGCTAAGATTCAACATATCTACCAACAACTGCATTTTATTAGATCAATTAGGGACAAAAGACGATTCGAAGTTTCTATATATCCAGCGATTTCCCAGGCAGCTTTTTGGAATTTGTGGAATGAATGATAAGAATCCGTAGCTAAGGAGCGTTAGGTTAATAGCTGAGAAGTCTTTATAGGCAGCCTAAATCGGTTAATCGGTTTGCAACCTGGGACAAACACATGTAAATCGAAAAGATTTACTTCGAGTGTAGTCGTGGTCGTGGTAATCGGAGTGGCCTATATCATAATAGTGAAGTCGTACTTCTTATAGCCACCATCAAAGAATGGAGGATGCATATTAATGTCGCCAAAATGTTTACATCAACCATAAGGAACCTTTGAGCACTCTACAACGTCCTTGGTAGGAACGAAATTCTGAATCGATCGAAGGAAGTCCATCCGTCTGTCCGTCCCTGAAACATCTATATAATCTTGATAGGAATGAAATTTGAATCGATCTAAGTAAGGTTTTGGAGAGTTTGTAAATAAATATAAATGCGACTCAGACTACTTCGGACAAAAAAAAAGAATATAAAGCAAAAAATCAAACAAAATTTTTAAAATTGAACAAAAAAAAAGTCTAAGAAAAATTTTTTCATTTTCAATTTCAGAGTTTGATTAAAGATCATCGTGCCAAATTCATAATATTGCGTTCAATTGAAAGCGACTTATGTGATTCTATTGTCAACATACATTCAGCTCGAGACTTATGGTCTTGTTTAAAACAACAGCATTCGTGGGGTCTCTTTTCTTAAAGTTATTAATTCAATAATATATATAAATGTATATGTATATATGTACATATATATATTATAATCATTTATCATTATAAAGTCTTGCACTCAAAAATATTAAAATAAAAATGTAAAAGAATAACTCTTTAAAGAACTTTTTTTCTTGAGTGGACATATAAGCCATACTTATTGGCTTAGTCCAATTAATCTTAAAAAACAAATAAAAAAGAATTTTTGTAAAAATTTTCTTTTTTAACCTTAAACATAAAACTATTAATATTGTAAACTACGTTTAGTACAAATGTCATCGAGTATCTGACGCAATTCCTCATCTTCGAAGCGGCCCTCCAAAGAAGGTATTAATGCTTTAGCTTCCTCAGGAGCTTCTGGACACAGATTACCCAAAGCGGCCAATTCAAATTTATGTAATTTTTTCTGCATTAATAAACTATAATATAAAAAAAAAATTATTTTTTCAAATACGATAAAAAAAAGGACAGAAACAAGTATTAAAGCTTGCGATTTTAAAACATTTCTCAATTCTTTTAATTTTTCCACCATGTGTTATACGTATTTGGCACGCTCCTCCTTACCTATGTTATTACATTTAAGAAAGTCGTTCTTGGTGTTGACCAAGTTAGGTGTGGACTTATTAACGCAGTTTACATAAAGTAAACAATTTTTATTTGCGTTATGCTGCCAAAGTTCGATGCAAGTGCATGTTTCATCTTGCTTGGGATGTATTTTTAGACATCTAAAGAATGGTATGTTTATACTCTACACCACTCGTAGCACAAAGTGCACGAATATACCAAATTTTTGGGGGTATATGTAAAAGATTTTTGGGAATGCACATAGAAGGACTTGAGGTAGACCCATCTTTTATTATACCGATCGAGAAAGTGATACTGAATCTTGTCTTTTCGTCTGTCTAACTCGTTTTTTTTTTTTGTATTCAACCTTTTGCGACATTTTGATGAAATCGGGCAAATCGACATATTTCGACTCAAGGATGAATCCAGTTGGAAATGGCTTACATTGGATTACTTTTTCCTTCGCTTTATATACAACAAATTATTGTAAAAAGCCTTTATATGAATAATTGTAGAGTGGCGTAGTGTGTTTCATGGTGGACGTGTCTCAGTTTCAATTGACATAAACTCACCTGCGTACGGCTGCTATGGTTTCTTTGTTTTTGAATTTTCGAAAACTATCCGTATAGGCATAAGTTTTCATGAAAACTTCCGAAAATTCTTGCTCTTCGTCGGCCGATTCATTTAGCCGTTTACGATGATCCAACAACATGTGTACCTCAGATATGAGTAAGGTTTCGGCACTTTCAAATTCTTAAATATAAACAAAATATTATTAAATACATTTTCTTATTAAATATGGACAATTTTTAAAAATAAGTTTGTTTTAAATGTAAATAAACAAGCGCCAGTTTATACGTGAATCGTAATGAAATTAATAACTTTTATTGATATGACCGTGTTCTATGAGAAAATCAAAGATTTGTCGCGTTTTATTAACATCTATTTTTATGAGACGTCTTGCGTCGGCCAACTTAATATCTTGTTTTACGCCTTTACCGACTAAGTACTTACTGTACTTACACGCAGCGTAAACTCTACCGCACTTAAGACTTGAACCCGCAAACACTGACTTTCTAGACACGGTTCTTACGTACTGGGCTTGGACGGATATACCGGAGGAAAATTTTTTTCTCCCTCTCATCATATAAGCGAGCGGAACAACAACTCTAAACGTTATTCGTTAGAATTTCATTTAAATTTCATTACATTAGCAAGCATTTTAAAGTATGGGAGTGGTATTGGACTGAACTTCAAAAACTTCAAACGATAGTATATTCTCGGCAGTTTTGATATAAAAAAGAAAGAAACCATCAAAAGTGAGATTATTGCTCTTCTAGTGCATAGTATTGCGAATATCAAAGAAGTCGCCTGATTTGGTTTTTCCTTCCAAAGTCAATCTTTTCAACAATATCATGCTTACTTATATAGTATGCTTTCAGAAGATATTTGCTTTGGTTATGAAATCATGTCATCAAAAATTCTGAAAATCATATTTCATGAAAATCTCTGATATTATCATTCGTATGCCATAATACATATGCTCCCTATCTCTTATTCATAAACATTTTAATTAAATAAAATTCTAGGCTTTTAGTTGTTGCATCATAATTAAGCCAGATTGCTTCCTCACACAAAATTATGTTAACATGTTGTTAATTAACATGTTAACTGTCAGTTTAAAACAAACAAAAAAAAGGGTTGCATTAAGTATAACTGTTTTGTGTTTCTCACATTTAGAATATTGTAAATCGTACGTTAGCTGTTATGTTTGTATGTTTCAATCAAAAAAAAAAAAAACAAAAAAACAAATGTATGTAGAATTGTTAGAATTGTTTGGAATGTCGAATGAAAAATCATGTAATTATTTAACCCTTTATTGGGGCATCTAATGAGAGTAAACAAATGAGAAGAATGCGTTTATCAATTACAAAGACAGCCGGCATTTTTACGTAATTTGATCAATTAAGATGAGATTAAAATTGGTAACTAACTAATTTCTCCTTCATAACTGCAATGGATCGGGGGCACCGCATTTTGCTGGAAAGAATGCTTTTCATCTTTTTTTATAAGATCTAATCTGATTCAACTAATGAGACAGTTGCTGGATATCAACTTTCGATAAAAAGTTTTGACAAGTTCTGACTTTCGCAGCAATTGACACTTTGCCGCGCCTACAATTTGAAAGTTTCAGTAAAGTCACGATATATTTCGGGAGAGCTGCTAGCTTTGGGATTCTTAATAAAAGTGTGCCTTTCCCGCCTGAAACCTTTAAGCTAGCCGCATAGAAATGTACTCAACGGAATATTGTAGGGGTTATTAAAACTCCATTGGAACCACTTGCGACTTGTATGACTTGTGTCTTTAATTTCACGAAGAGGACTGCTGACTTCTGACAATTGGTGAACCTTACCTGTGTTAGGATATTAAAGATGCACATTAGGATAACTCATATGATAAGGTTGGATATTCTGTACGCCCCCTTTGACAGAATCAGCCGGACGTTAGTTGCTTTATACACAACAGGAAAGTTTTTTGCGGGATATCTTATCAACCGCAACCGATGCAATTGAGTCGAAAAGTTGGCACCGTATGCATAAATTTGTGATATCGTACACTTCAGCATGATGACATTCGGTCCCACATACGACAAGATGCGCGTGAAAAGCTTGAATTGGACAATGTGCCATCGTTCCCGCTTTCTTCGCTACACTAGACACTACTTCTTTGTCGGTGTCAATCAAAGACTTACTTTCTGCTCGAACAGGGTTCGGAATTTTTATACCGATTACTAGAAAAAAAGAATTTATTTATAGATAACTACAGGACAGGATATTCTTTATGCAGCGAGATTCATATTCCATGTAAAAAAAGAAAGAAATAATTGCTAAAAATGGACAATGCTTTAGACAAAACTTTTCGGATTGAGTTTTTTTTTTTTTTTTTTTGAACAATAGATTCTGCACTTTATACGCTGCAAAGAGTCGATAGTGCTGAAAATTTCTTTGCGTTACAAACACAGTGAGCAAAGTTAGTATACTTTCAACTTTGCCTAGCGTACGTAGTCAAAAACTGGAAAAAAAAAAATTAAATCAGGTAGGTATTATTGTCTTCTAAAAATCGTAAGCCGTTAACATTAATTCTAAAATTCGATCTTACTTAAAGTCATTGCAGTACGGAGAAACTTACCTAAATTATTCCAATGCCTAAGCCGACTCAACAACTATAAATATACGTGGATATTACAGAACAATGTAAAAAACTAATAGACCCTCTAGCTCCCTCAAGCATATGATGTATGATGCTGAAGGTAAAAATAAGTTTGGCTGCCCCTTGAAAGCAGGCGAAACTTACATCTACAGAAATAGTTTTAAAATATTGCCCGTTTATCCTACCGTCAGCGTAGTGGTACATTGGGGTTTGGGCGATAAAGATGATGCTGGCGTTTGTTTCGAAGTGCCAGCGAAAATGAAGGCTTAATTTTAAATGTTAACCTTAATATTATTGAAGAAGAAGAGAAATAGAGTCTGAGAGCTGTGGTCGAAATCAAATTAAAACCAAAACATGACTTTAAGGAATTCAATTCCGATATCCAGGGCATAATATTAGATGTTCCCATACCGTTTTTTGGCTATTACGGTACCAGTGCTTGCCTTCATCCCTCGGTAAATGGTGAAATAATTACTTGAGAAGTGCTCGTAAAAAAAAGAAAAGAAAATAAAGCAACAAAAGTAGGAACAATGTGATTACTACTCGAGCAAGTAACACAATTCAAACATCTGATTGTGTAGAGTTGCCACGATCTTACAATTGCCAGTATTTTTCATCAGCGCGAGCATATTACATCCCAGTCGATCGAAATTACGGGTTTTATTTTGATTTATTTTTTTCTATCTGGACATATGGTGTACATTTACAATGATTTAGAAAAACTTTATTTATGAATATAAAATGATCGAAAAAATTATAACATCCCAAGGCAGCTCGTTGGAGTCAGAAGTAATATAATAGTTCTTTATTGGAAGTTTTAGAGTTTAAAATGAAAAACACGTCTGCAATTTATTATTAGCCTGGTTAAGGTTTGCTTCGTTTGATTTGGAAGTGTAGCCTTTTAATCGAATACAATCCGAAATTCGTTCCTCTAATACGTACGGTACATGCCTTTAAGTCTAGTTTTTTTTCGAGGCATTTAGTTTTTGAGAATCGTTTAATTAGAAATAAAATAACATAAAAAGTTATCAAGAAAATGATAAAGCCATGTTTGCTATATTTGCGGACGGCCAAATGACTTGCTTATTTTTGTGTGCCTTGGCCGTACTTTCGGATATTCCAAACAACTTGCTTATTATTATCTTAATCATGCATTTTTATAATCGTCAATAAAAGATCAGAGTCTTCTAAGAATTTCTAAAAGAATTGTAGACAATCATACAGTGTAAGTCATATTTTCGGACGGCCGACTTATTTGTTTATTTTTGTGCATGCTAATTACTTTTATAACCACCTAAAAAAAATCAGTGATTCATTCTTCATTGTGAACTAGAAAACGTAAATCATATTTTCAGACATTCTAAACTAAACTATTCATTATTATTACCTTAATCGCGTACTCTTGTAGCCACCAATGAAAGATGAGAATGCATTTTATTATTGCTCTTATACTTAAAAAATTAAGTGGACCATATGACAACCACATGGAAGCTCACTGCGTATAAGATTTCTCATACATAGTAATCCCGTCAGAAAGTTTTAATTTTCAACATTTTATGATGAATTTGCATAACATAGCTCTTTTGTTTAGGATCCTAACATATATGGGGATTATCATGAAAAGCAAGACCTTATACGCAGAGGATGTCTAATTTCTAGCTTTTTAAGGCGAAAAGTAAAGAATGATGATAAAAATTTTGCGAAGTAAATTAAATTATGCTAAATTTGGATTAGGTCATGCGATATTTTAGACGTCATTCAAAATGAAGGCTTTGATGAAAAATATACCTCGCATAACAATGACGTTTAATTTTTGTTGTTTGATTATCAAAATGAGTGAATAAATGTGCTAGACATAGAGTATCTGATGGTCGACATTGCTCGACTAAAATGTTCTTACTTGCTTGTCAAGTTGGGATTGTTCCTTTTTATACACATTCATTGAAGTTGATGGGTATCTAAAATTCGACCTAAAACTAATCAAAGATTTCTTTTTACTCCTATAGGAAATACAAGGGTTAATCTGTGATTTCGCAAAACGAGTTCAGGCAAATTATGCAAATGAAGACATAGTTATAATAAAGTTATTGTTTAAAGATTTGTCTTTTTGCTTTTTTTTTTTTTTTTAATAATTACAAAACCTTTAAACAACTGCTATAGAGTGGAAAGTATAATAAGTTGAAAGAAACACCTGCAAGTAAAGTTTTATTAAATGACTGTGAAAGTCACAAGTGAAAACCATAATCGATTAGGATTACAAAACAAAACACCCTTCAAATTAAATTATACCGGAAAGATAAATAGAAGGATATATATATATATATATATATATATGAAATAATATATAATATAAATCAACTGGTTACGCAAGTGAAACGAATCAAAATTAAATAAAAATCTTTCAAAATTCAACACATTAGCTGCTAAGGGGAAGAATTTGAACATATTGACTATCATGCTCGATTTATTAGGGTATCATTATTATTAACAACAACAACAAGAACAGCATCAACAGCATCAGCAATGTCATCAAATCTGCTAATCTGTACTCATCAACATCGAAGCTAATGACAAAATTCCTACTCTAACTAACCACTCTCATCAAAGCCTTTAGCGCTTTATTTCCTTTACTTCTTTGTAAGTCTATGCGGATATGATTGTTTGAGAATTCTCAGTAAATGTGTGTATGCGTTTGTAAAATGTTGCTAATTTGTCATATCTGCAGTAGATGTGTTAAGCATTTCAACAAAATTAAACAAAATTAAATATCATGTGAAAGAAAGGGTGACTTTATTTGTTCAGCCAATTGTCCGCAACGAATAAGCGATTTAACCTATTACTGGTTATCATTGGGTCGTCGGTAAAGTTATTACTTATGCTTAAGTACTCCACTTACTTCCGATCTTTACAGTTATTTAAATAATGGTTATAACAGTTTATAACGAGATTAGCTTACATGGATCAACGTTAGATGATTTTGCTTATAGGTCAAGTTTTTTAAAGTAAAGGTGAAGCGACCAGGCTTTATCCGCAATTTTATGTCGGATTAGGAAGCAGGGCAACGCTTTCTTTTTTTGGATGTACATTGCAGATAATCTGATATCATGCATTTCTCATCAGCACTACAAGCCGCTCTTTGTCATCCAACATTGTATTTATGGGAATAGTGCCTGACTATAGCTATAAAGAACAGATCGCGGTTTTCTCTTATTTCTGGTACAATTTTCATTAGCATTGGCTTTAACGACATTACCCAATTGTAGCCACACACAGCAAATGTGGGAAGTAAGTTTTTTATTGTCGGGTTTAATGTAAAATGAAAGCATATGGCCTCCACTTGGTTGCCGTTTCCTTCTAATTAACGCTGACAGCAATAATGATGAACTAGCGTTTTCTAATGCTTTCAGTTCGAATTTGGAAGCAGGTTAAGGTTTTGGTGTTTTCGTTTTTTTCATTATGTTTACAGAAGAAATCTACATACGGGCGACAAATTCTTGCCTGAAGCAAAGCGCTCAGAACCGCAAGAGTTAAGAAAATCTCTTTAGCATTCCTGACGCTCTTGAACCTGCACATAATAAGGGCCCTGATTCGCTTATATGGAACTATTTCCATGGAAGCTGTTCCAAGAAGGTAAAAGACGGCTGCTCACCAATCAAGTGCTCTAATAGGATTACTCGTCTTTTTCAAATCTTTTTCGCATTCGTTCTTTCGCCCAATTACCCTATCGAGACACGAGTGTGTTCCTTACCTACTTTACAAGTCTAGAAAGATCTTCGGAAGTTTTATCGTACGTAGCAATATCCAGGCCCACGTTTGTTCCTTAATTACGTTATAAGCCCATGAGGCCTGGGGATGTTTTCCCACAAGTTCAACCAATTAAGCCGAAACATTACTTTTTCCCTTCTCCACTGACTATCATTCTTTCTGACGTTTATCGCTTGGGCATGTATCAAAAAATCTTCAAGCTTCTATCTTCCATTCGGAATTAAAAAACTGAATTATGTCTGCGAAATGTCCACTTTCCTCTGTACACGAAAGAAGAGTTGCGGACCGGAATTAGTTCATCTACAACGGAGATGCATTCGCCTGAAAAATTAATACATTTCAAAACTTTGCGCAATCTGTTATTTGTAAATTATTTAATTTGAAATCTCCTATTATCGTAATATAAACCGATTGCTCAAGTTTAGTATTTCTGGAGTCCCCGACTTTGTTGGATTTTCTTAACGTGAATGCGGCGAACAATTTCTTTGCTCAACTTTTTAATTCATCAGTGGTATTAACATTGCCATTGACAAACTAAAATATTTAAAATTTATCTGCTTGGGAAATGGACCCAATTAAGGTAAAGTTTTATGGACAAAGAAGAGATTGTAATAAAATGGAGCTGAAAATAAAGCAACAATTTTTTTTATTATTTAATTACCTTTAATGGACGGTAAAACAATACGAATATTATTACAAAGTAAATGTTATTAAAAACGATGAGGACATAAAAAAAAATATTATATTAATAAATACTTAAAGCACATTCGGTCCGTTTGTTTTATTTCTTTTCTCTGAGTGTCACTCGGAGTTTTCAGTTACTAAGGTATATGATCACTTCTGTTATTGAGTTGATTGAGTCGCGAGGCCGAAACTTTCCAGGTTTAATAAATCTAAAAGGAAAATTCTTTATATGCTTTTTTCAAACACCAGTCCTCTTTAGATAAAATAGCTCGAGCTTCATTTTCATTAATGCCTTTATCTTTTAAATTTTGAACTTTTTCGTCACAATCCGGATGCCTATGAGGACCGCCTGCGTAAACATTGGTCCAATGTTGAGCTGTCATTTCATATATCTGCCGTTTATTTTTATATTGATAAGCTACCACGGCATCTTGCGGATCATCCGGTTCGGGGGCATCTAATAGAACTTGCAACGATAATAGAACCGTGCGCAAACTCATCGCAGCCGCCCAGTTATCTTTTAAAATATCTAGACAAATGGCACCCGTAGCTGATGATATATTTGGGTGCCAGATTTTGGTGATAAAGCGCACATTTGGTGGAACGAAGGGGTACCTTTCCGGTATTTTGATTGCCAATAGAAATTTACCACCCTCATAAGGTGTTCCGGAGGGTCCAGTTATTTCTCCGCGTAATTCGGTCCAACAATCATCGACCAATTCTAATTTATTTGAATTTTGTACAAACGCTTCATCGCACATTAATTCTTTGAATTCGCGCTTTATGCGACATGCTGCAGAGCTAGCCATGGCGAGTTTCTTGCTTTTTTATTTTTTTCCCCTTTTTGTTAAACTTTAACGTAAATCTTGGATCTAATTTCCTTCGTAAAAATGTTTTTCTCAACCGAACAATTCAAGATTGTTGGAAAAACCTTAATAAAAATTTCGGAACTTGTGATATTTAACGAGCTGGACAATTTGGCGACTTTCCGAACTGATGTTCAAGAAAAATCATAAAATATTTGACAATTTACAATAAGACATTTGTTTGTACAAATCCCATTAAATTTCCACTTATCCTTTTTAGTTTCTCCGATTTGTTTGACTTGGCCCCAGTATTCTCACTCAAAAATTGTCAAATCGAAAGTTATATAAAATTTTTCTTTTGTTTTCGTTAGGGTTGCCAAACGTTATGAAAATGAAAGTCGTAATTGTTTTGGGTAAAAGACAGCCCTAAGGAGTATTGTTATAAAAATCCCACATAACTAACCGATTTTCTAATATCTAAAAGCCTTTGACGCGAAGATTAATAACAATACGCAGAATCTCTTGCGGTAAATGGTTATATAAGCCGAATATTTGCGAAAGGGGCACATCAATCAAGCCAAAAGATTTGAATAATAACATTCGAACGGGCAAAACCAGAAGAAAAATGGTAAATACAAGTTGCTGTAAAGCATCTCCTAAGGATTGTAAATAAAAGCTTTGTGCATATTACACTTTATTTTCGTTTTAAGTCACAGCTTTCGTGGGAAGGCCAGCAAATCTTGATCTTCTTATCATGAGAATACAAAATGATTTTCGTTGAACAGAATATATATTCACTGTGTCGGAAGATGCAGTTAAGAGCTTATATTTATTAAAGCCTTGCAAAAAGTTCTTCACTTTTCTTTAATTAAAATCTCCGCCTTTGTAACAGCAGCAGCAGTTGTCTTTCCCAACTTGCCTGATAACCCTTTTTAAGTCTAACGTGCACAAACACTACACCCTTTCTCCACCCACCCCTCTCTTCTTATAATCTTTCCTGATTATCGACTAGTCCGTACGTACGGGGCACATCCCGTCAGTGACTAGTCATAGAAAAAAAAAGAAAATGAATAAATAACAAATATTAGTGACTACTACTAATGGTCTTCCCTTGATGTTTGCATTTTAAGTCAAACATACCCCAACACTACACTTGCCTTCCATCTCTCTCTATCTCTCTATTCCTTCAGACGACCATCGGTGGCAGGAGTGGCTGGTCATTCACAAAAAGGAAAAAACCATTAACTCATGTTAGCCACTCAAGTCAGTAAAGTTAATCTTCTTTTTAAAGGTCTTATTATCCTTCAGTGATTTTCGTTTACAAAATACTAAATGGCATGCGATTGAAAATATAAATCAAACCTGATACAGTTCATTTCTATGTGGAGTTACTGCTATGGACCAATTTTAATCATAAAATGTTAAAAATGGAAAGATCTTATCATGAAAAGAGTTTCGTGAAAATATCTTAAAACTTGTGACTTCACAAACATTTAGAGAGACGGACAGACCAGCTGAGATTGATTCAGAAAATATCCGCCGGAATCGTCGACTAGCAACCCAATTGTCATGGGTTCAAATGTCAAGATTTTATATAAGTTTGAAGGACCGTTGCCCAAAGGAGAGTTTGAAAATCATTTTAGTGAATTCTTGTTCTTGAATTAAATTTTTCCACTTGTTTGAACTTGTTTGCTTTTGATTGTAAAGTAGCGGCCGTTATATCTGCAAAAATTGCCAGTGGCTATGCTATTACTTTTTTGACAATCCAATATAACAAGTTTCAATGGTAAAGGTTGCTCGCAAGAAATAGCTGTGAACACGTGTTGGTTTTCTAATATAAAAAAAAAAAACGACCCACGATTATACAATATTTTGTAATTTTCATTGTTATTTTGCAGTTTACTCTCTACCGCTGTTTTCCTATTGAGATTGGCAATAAAATGTCAATTATCGCATGGTCGGCATAAACAACTGAAAGTGACTTTTCCGCTGAGGGTTGATCTCAAGTTAACTGAATATGAAAGATACTAAGAAAGAAAATATATACAGTTTAAGTGGAAGTTTGTCACACTCATCTCGAGTAATCGATAAGCAATGTTCAATGAATAAATAGTCAAACAAAATGATCAACGATTAAATCGACTAATGGTGAACAATTAATGAATAATGAATAATGATTAAGCCTCAATGATCAGTGATTAAAAAAAGATTAGTAATTAATGATTAGTTAAACCGAAGGCTGATCAGTTAGATGATCAGTAATGATGGACGAGAAACGATCAAGTGCTAAATTGCAAGTGCTAACTAATCAATGAATTATAGTGAGCAAATATGATCAGCAAGTGTTAAGCATTGGCCGATGATGGCAATGAGAAGATCACTATCACTGATAACTTATCGATGGCTAATGATAAATACGTATTCATCAAAAAAAGTTGGTAGTGATCAGGAATTGATCAATGGTAGATGGTAAAGTAAATATCGTTGACGACCAATGATCAAGGAGCAATGATGATTCATTAATTACCAATTGACCAATTAAAGCAAGTAATGCTTAGTAAGCTGCACGTGTTGACCATAATTAAGTGAGTATGTATGAGCAAGATCTGGGACTTATGCGGGCCGCGGAGGCGATCTCGAAACTAATTGAGGAGAAGGAATTCTTCGAAGAAGAGGTCAGGGTGAGTGCAGGAGGAGCCTCCATTGTTGAATTGACACAAGATCTTGCTACGTTTAAAACGAATATGAGTAATCCGCCAAGTTTCGAAAAGTCCTTAGAGGAGTGCATGCAGGACGAGGATTGCCAAGGTCCGTCGACATCTGCCCCGAGCGGATGATTGACGAGGATTTCGACAGCCCGTTGACATCAGCGTAGGCGACGCAAATAAGAGAGAATCGGCGGCTCCGAGTTGAATCTCCCTTTTTTTCATACTATAGAAAAATTTAAATTCCTTATGTTTTTCTATTAACGAAGCTAGCGTAAGTAGTTATATGCGATTCGATTAAAATGGATTGCTTTAAGTTGTAAGCTAATAAGAAGTGTTGTGAATGTATGCAAGACCGAGAAAGACTTGGGAGAGTTTATACCGAACGGTTTAGAACGTTTTTTTTATATGATATTTGATTTTCTATTTCAGTGCAATTGGTTATGTCCACCAATATCGATAAAGAATTGCACGATGTGCTTAGCCGTATCCTTCGATACTACCCGGACTTGTGGCGATACCAGGTGCGGGCCGATTAAGGGCAAGTACGAAGAACTGACCGGAAAAATACGCAGGGAGCTGCACCGAAAAGGTGCGAACCGCGATGGAAAACGTCAAGAAGAATCTACAACGGCTCGAAAAAGAGCTGTCTCGGAGGACGCATTATTGCGCATACCTACTCGCATAGATGATTCATTGCTAATTAGAAGTGATTATTGTTAATTAATTGTCGTAAGTTATTCATTGCTAATAAGAAAAGACTTTCGATCTTTGGCTAACGACTAACCACTAATCATCAATGATGAATGATCAACGGCTAATCGATGAATGATATTGTAACATATCTAAGTAGTTTCTGAAGAAAACTTACCATGTCAGTTATCATATATGTCAGAGTTGGGCAACTTTTCTCGTCATTGCTCCAGTTGCCAAATTTTCATATCAGATTAAATGAATTACTAAACCGATAAAATTAATATTTGCAATTAGTATTTTTATTATTATTAGTATGTAACAAAGTGGATACAATAAATATATTAATTAAATTGCAGTGCGATGGGTTAAGTTGTGAATATTTCTGATTTATTATTACATCAGAATCTAATTCGCTAGTAACGAAGTATTCGAAGTGATCGAAGAAATGCTTCTAAATTTTTATATGCTTTTACTCTTAGGATATTTCATAAACGAGAGGGTAGTATCCCAAGGGTAAGTTAGAGTAGTAGTAGATTATTTCACATTTGCACATCCGAACAGGTAGCGAAGGCAGTTTGAATACATTTGCCGCATTGCTTTGTGCGCCTAAAATGAATTATTTGAAATTTTATACGTAGTTAACGGGAATCGCCAACATAGCGGGCCAGCGGTTGCCCGCGCCTGATGCATATCGCTTTAATACAATTTAATCAAATTTAATCCGAATCTTAGAATTTATATAAAGCAACCTTTAATCTTTTAATTGATCATTGATTGACCTTGCGCTTGTTACGATCATACTTAATACATCGCTGGATAAATTCCTAGGATGATTCCGAGACTATTGATTTTTATATAGTACCAATTCCAAGACATTCAGATCATTAGTTATTAGAGAAAATAACTGCAAAGTGTATTTTGCATCTTTTTCTTTTCCACTACCTTTTATTTATTTAAATCGTCCCTTGTCCTTGCGCTCTTCTGATATTTGAATATTTGAATTTTCCTTATAGTGTGTCAAACTTAATGTATTTTCCAATTCTAGGTAAAAAAATGACACAATTGAATAAATTTTTTCTAAATCTTTTGCTTTTTTTTCTTCTCTCTCTCTCTCTCTCTCTCTCCCACTGTCTTTTTATAAAACAATTTCTGCGAAATGCTTGCTTTAGAGCCATTTTGAAGCACTTGACAACCCCTGTGCCCTTTCTTATTGCATCAAGTACATTTTCACTCACTTGTACTTCAATAAGTTCTCATAAACATTTAAATAACAGTTTAAGAATTTTTATATTGAGAAATTTCATTATTGAGATCAAACGAAAAGATAATAAACCGGTACACGCGTCAATGCATTAATTTTCTTTTGCTTAGTCCTCTTCTTTTTTTTTTTTCTTTCGTTCCTTTTTTTTTTATTAATAATGAGTTTTAAATATTTGAATATTTTATGCACGATGCGCTCGTAAGGCTTAACAGGAAAGTAAAGCGATTTTGTAGAATCTAGAGAGTATGTTAAAGGGTTTCGATTTTTCGAACTAGAATCACTTTAAAGAAATTTCTTTGATTTCTTTGCTTAGAAAGAGATATATATTTGGCGCCTCTTCATCGTCTCTCTAATTTTCCTCTTCTCAATCTTTTCAATGCCTTGGCTAAATCTATAATGAATTTTAAGGATCAAAGTCATATGCCGTTTTGGTCCCTTACCGTAGGTTAAGAGTAGGTTAAGTAAGCCTCTCTGCAAGTACGAATGTTCTCATGACATGATCTTAATCATGGTCACACAAGTGGTAAAATTGATTGAAGTCAACTATTCGAAATTTTCTGAGCCATATTCTACAGAGTCTATAAAAACCTGTATCTTCAGCAAACAGTTTCAATAACACGCTTCTGCAGCGAATAATATTTAGGATAAGAGGAGGACACATACACAC